TCCTCAAGGGAAATATATATTTATCGAATTGGCCTAAAACAAATCAGGGAACTATGGTGATGAAATGTTTATTGTTTATTTTCTGGGTTTTTCTTTTCTTGCTTTTATTTATTTTTTTTTTTGTTACGTTTTCTTAAGAGGACAAGATTTGAAAAGAAATTCAAAGAATTATTGATGAAAATATTAAACAATTGTGGATCAGCAAGAATAAAAAAGAAAATGAAAGATTGTAAGGCTGCAAGAAAAACAAAGAAATCGAACAGGAAAAGCGACATTTTTTATATATATAAATATAAAAGAAAGAGAGAAATAGAGAAGAGGAAGAAGGCAAAGAAAAAACAAAAAAACAACGTGAAAGTAAAACGGTAATGAAAGAAAGAATGAAAGCAAAAAGAAAGAAAGAAGGGGAGAGAAATAAATCTTGAAAGGAATATATGAAAAAACGAAAGAAAGAAAGAAAATAGACAAAAAAGATAGAATGAAAGAAAGAACGAACGAAAGAAAGACATAAAAGTAAGAGATGAAAGGTAAAAGATGAAAATATTTGTAGATATTTGAAAGAAAGAAAGAAAGAAAGAAAGAACGAGAAAAGAAAGATAGAAAAAAGACAGATTAAAATGGAAAAAAATGAAATAGTATATTTGAGAATGAGAAAGAAAGAAAGAAAGAAAGAAAGAAAGAAAGAAAGAAAGAAAGAATGAAAGGAAGAACGAAAGAAAGAAAGAAAGAAAAAGTATATTTGGGAATAAGAAGAAAGAAAGAAAGAAAGAAAGAAAGAAAGAAAGAAAGAAAGAAAGAAAGAAAGAAAGAAAGAGCTAAAAATAAAAGATGAAAGAAACAAGTGAAAAAGAATATTTGAGAATGAGAAAGAATGAAAGTGAACAAATGAAAGAGAATATATGGAAAGAAAGAAAGAAAGAAAGAAAGAAAGAAAGAAAGAAAGAAAGAAAGAAAAAGAAAGAATGTAAAATGAAAGGCAGAAGAAAGGGACAAATGAAATAGAATATTTGTGTATAAGAAGGAAAAAAGAAAAATGAAAAAGAATATTTGTGGATAAGTATGAAATTAAGAAAGAAAAAAGAAAGAAAGAAAGAGAATAAATGAAATAGAATATCTTGACATAAGAGATAAATAAATAAATAAATAAATAAGTAAAAAAAGAAAACAGAAATAAAAAAAAGAGATGAAAGGAACAAAGGGAAATATTTGTGGATATAAAAGAAAGAAAGAAAGAACATTTGAGAATAGGAAAGAAAGAAAGAAAGAACATTTGAGAATAGGAAAGAAAGAAAGAAAGAAAGAACATTTGAGAATAGGAAAGAAAGAAAGAAAGAAAGAACATTTGAGAATCGGAAAGAAAAAAGAAAGAAAGAAAGAAAGAAAGAACATTTGAGAATCGGAAAGAATAAAAAGAATGAAGAAAAGAAAGAAAGATAAATATACAGACAGGAAGAAAGAATTAAAAGTAAAAGATGCAAAGAACAAATGTCAAAGAATATTTGAGAAAAAGAAAGAAAGAAACAAAGAAAAGAGAAGGAAGAAATAATTAAGCATAAAGAAAGAGTTTAGAAGTAATAAGAATAAGATAATAACGGGAATATGAAAAAAGAAAGAAAGAAAGAATAAAGAAAGAGTTAAGAGGAAAATATGAAATGAACAACTGAAAAAAATATTTGTAAATAAAAAAGAAAGACAGAAAGAAAATAGAGAAAAGAAAGAAAAAGAAGGAAAGAAAGTAATATTTAAAATTAGTTAAATTTAAAAGTGATTTGGGAACATTTGGGAATAAGAAAGAAAGAAAGAAAGAAAGAAAGAAAGAAAAACAAATGTAAAAGAATATTTGTGAATAAGAAAGAAAGAGTTAAGACTTAATGATAAAATGACCAACTGAAAATAATATTTGGGAATAAGAATGCGCAAAATGAAGAAAGAAAGAAAAAGAAAGAAAGGAAAAGAAAGAAGGAAAGAAAGAAAGAAAGTAAGAAAGAACAAAAGAAAGAGAAACATAAAAAAAGATATGAATGTTACAAAATATTTGCGGACATTAAAGAAAGAAAGAAAGAAAGAAAGAAAGAAAGAAAGAAAGAAAAAAGAAAGAGAGAAGTTAAATGTAAATGATTAAAGAAACAAATGAAAGAATATTTAGGAATAAGAAAGAAAGAAAGAAAGAAAGAAGAAAGAAAGAATACAAATGAAATAAAATTGTGAATAAGAAGAAAGAAAATGTTATATGTAAAAGAGGAAACGAACAAGTTAAAATGAATATTTGGGAATAATGAAGAAAGAACGAAAGAAAGAAAAATAGGAAGAAAGAAAGAAACAGAGAGAAATAAATCTTGAAAGTAATATGTAAAAAAGAAATAAAGAAGGAAAAAAGAAAGAAAGAATAAGAAAATATGAAAGAAACAACGAAAGAAAGATATAAATGTTAGAGGTGAAAAGTACAAGTGAAAAATATTTCTGGATATGAAATAAGTAAATTAAGAAGGAAGAAGGAAGGAAGAAAAAGAAAGAAAAAAGAAAGAGTTAGAAGTGAAAGAAGAATATTTGGGAATTAGAAGGAAAGAAAAAATGAAAGAAAGTCTTACATGTAAAAGAGGAAAGGAGTAAGTTAAAAAGAATATTTGAGAATAAGAAAGAAAGAAAGAAAGAAAGAAAGAAGGAAATAAAGAAAGAAAGAAAGTTAGAAATGAAAGAGTGAAGATTAAAAGATGAAAGAAACAAAATATATTTGTGAATAAGAAAGAAAGAATGAAATAAAGGAAAATAGAAAGAAAAAAGGAAGAAAGAAAGAAAGAAAAAGTATATTTGGGAATAAAAGAAAGAAAGAAAGAAAGAAAGAAAGAAAGAAAGAAAACATTTAAAAGAATAATTGGGAATAAGAAAGATAGAAAGAAAGAAAGAAAGAAAGAAAAAGTATATTTGGGAATAAGAGGAAAAAAGAAAGAAAGAAAGAAAGAAAGAAAGAAAGAAAGAAAGAAAGAAAACATTTAAAAGAATAATTGGGAATAAGAAAGATAGAAAGAAAGAAAGAAAGAAAGAAAGAAAGAAAGAAAAAGTATATTTGGGAATAAGAGGAAAAAAGAAAGAAAGAAAGAAAGAAAGAAAGAAAGAAAGAAAGAAAACATTTAAAAGAATAATTGGGAATAAGAAAGAAAGAAAGAAAGAAAGAAAGAAAGAAAGAAAGAAAGAAAGAAAGAAATGAAAAAATTAAAGAAAGGAAGAAAGAAAAAAGATACAAATGAAAACGATTATTTGTTGATGGGAACTAAAGAAAGAAATGAAGAAAGATAAAGTAAAAGAAATGAAGAAAGTAAACAAATGAAAATGAATATTTGTGAACAAGAAGCAAAGAAAGTGTTATATATAAAAGAGAAAAGGAAGATGTTAAAAAGAATATTTGGGAATAAGAAAAAAAGACGGAAACAATGAAAGAAAGAATGACAGAAAGCAAAAAGACAGAAATAAAAAATAAAGAAAGAAAGAGTAAAAGTCGAAAGGAATAAACTATATTTGTGAATAAAAGAAGAAAAAAATAGACAAAGACACAAAGGAAGAAAGGAAGGAAGAAAGAAAGGAAGGAAGAAAGAAAGGAAAGAAGAAAGAAAGAGTTAAAAGTAAAAGATGAAAGGAACAAGCGAAATAGAATATTTAGGAATAAGAAAGAAAAAAAGAAAGAAAGAATGAAAGAAAGTAAAAGAATAAGAAAAGAAAGAAAGAATGAAAGAAAGAAAGAAAAAAGAAACAGAGGAAAAGGAAAAAAGAAAGAATGAAAGAAAGAAAAAGAATAAGAAAAGAAAGAATGAAACAATGAAAGAAAGAAAGAAAAAAGAAATAAAGGAAAACGAATATTTGTGAATAAGAAAGAAAGAAAGAAAGAAAATTAGCGAATGAAAAGGATATTTGTGAATAAGAAAGAAAGAAAGAAAGAAAGAAAGAAAGAAAGAAAGAAAGAAAGAAAGAAAGAAAGGAAAAAGAACAAAGAAAGAAAGAAAGAAATTAACAATAAAAGAAAGAAAAAAGAAACAAATGAAAACGAATGTTTGGGATGAGAAAGAAAGAAAGAAAGAACATTTGAGAATAGGAAAGAATAAAAAGAAGGAAAGAAAGAAAGATAAATATACAGACAGGAAGAAAGAATTAAAAGTAAAAGATGCAAAGAACAAATGTCAAAGAATATTTGAGAAAAAGAAAGAAAGAAACAAAGAAAAGAGAAAGAAGAAATAATTAAGCATAAAGAAAGAGTTTAGAAAGAAAGAAAGAAAATTAGCAAATGAAAATAATATTATTGAGAAAGAAAGAAAGAATAAAGGAAAGAAAGAAAGAAAGAAATTAACAATAAAAGAAAGAAAGAAAAAAGAAACAAATGAAAACGAATTTTAGGAATGAGAAAGAAAGAAAGAAAGAAAATTAGCAAATGAAAATGATATTAGTGAGAAAGAAAGAAAGAAGGAAGGAAAGAAAGAAAGAAAGAAAGAAATTAACAATAAAAGAAAGAAAGAAAAAAGAAACAAATGAAAACGAATTTTTAGGATGAGAATGAAAGAAAGAAAGAAAGAAAGAAAGAAAGAAAGAAAATGAGTAAATGAAAAGGATATTTGTGAATAAGAAATAAAGAAACAAACAAACAAAGGAACAAAAAACGGAGAGACGCATAATACGAATGGGACATTGAAATATAATTTTTTGTAAATGAAAATGAAAGTTAGCCTGAATTAAAGGGAGAGAAGGATGAAAGGAACAATTGAAAACGAATATGAGGCAATAAGAAAGAAAGAAAGAAAGAAAGAAGGAAGGAAAGAAGTAAGGAAGGAAAGAAAGAAAAAAGGAAAGAAAAAGAAAGAAAGGGAGAAAGAAAGATAAGAAAAATAGGAAATAAACGATGCAAAAATATTAATGGAAAGCATCACGTGCAAGGAAAAAAAAACAAGTAAAATTTAAATAAGAAAAACAAAAAACAAACAGAATATTTTGAACGAAGAATATACAAGGATCAATTATTAGGAGAAAGTCAGAAAGTAAATGAAAAAAAAAGGAAAGAATATGTAAAAGAAAAAATGGATAGCAAAAGAAAAGGGGAAAAAACAGAAAAAAGTAGTATAAATATAATAAATGCAATAATGAAATAATGAAAAAAGTATAAACTCTAATAATACAATTTAACACCAAAAACAAACAAAAAACAACGATTTTAATGAATATAAAAACTGACAAGGAAAACATGCAAATGAGAAGAAAACGAAAAAGAAAAAAAAACAAGAGAATACTGTTAGATGTAATGACGAAAAAGAGAAAGAAAAGGCAAAAGAAAGAAAGAAAGAAGTGATGAACATATGTAAAACTACTTAAGAAAGCAATTTTGAAAACAGAGAGAAGAAATGGCAAAAACCTGAAGACTTCAAGCAAGATTGGCTGTAAGAAAAAAGGCAAGAGTTGAAAAAGACGGTTCATGGAAAGCAAAAACGATAGAGAGCCAGGGGGTGGGGAATGGATAGGTGATGAAGCCGTGAAAGAAAGAAAGAAAGAAAGAAAGAAAGAAAGAAAGAAAGAAACGGGGTGTATCAAAAGATGAAACAGATTGAAAAATAATATTTGGGAATAAGAAAAAAAGAAAGATAGAAAGAAATAAACGAAGGGAATGGTGAAAGGAACCATTAAAAAAAGAATATGTGGGAATAAGAAAGAAAGAAAGAAAGAAAGAAAGAAAGAAAGAAAGAAAGAAAGAAAAGAAAGCAAGCAAGCAAGCAAAAAAGAAAGAATGAAATACTAATCATAATTTTTAAAATCGAAAGCAAAAGAAATCGTAAGAAAGAAAGAAATGGTGAAAGAAGGAAAAACCAAGGAAGGGTGAAAGCATCATTGAAAGAAAGAAGTAAAGAAAAAGAAACAATATGAAGAAAGAAAAATAGGAAAATCAAAATGGAAGAAATTAAACCTAAAGAAAGAAAGAAAGAAAGAAAGAAAGAAAGAAAGAAAGAAAGAAAGAAAGAGAAGCATTATAAATAAATAAAAAAATGAAAATCAAAAAGAAAGAAAAATCTAAAGAAAGTGTAAGAGAAAGAAATTAAAAGAGAAATAAAGAAAGAAATGATGAACGTAAGTTTCAAAATAAAACCTGGGTACTAGGAAAAGAAGAAATTAATAAAAAAATTAGTAAAATACTAAACATATGGTAAAAAGTAAATAGGGAAAATATATAGACAATTAATATACAAAATAAAGAATTAAAAATCAAAACATTATGTCAAAGGAAAGTAATAAAGAAAGAAAAGAAAAAGAAAGAAAGAAAAAGAAAGAAAAAAGAAAGAGAAATAAAGAAAGAAAAAAAACAAAAATAAAGAAAATACGAAGAAAAATTACAATTTTAAAAACAGTGAGAACGGGAAAAAATGAAGAAGATTCATGAAAGGCGAAAAGAAAATGAGGAAAACATTGAGAAAAAATAAAAGAAAGAAAGAACAAAGAAACACAAAAACACAAAAAAATATAAAGTATAATAAGTAAGAATATTAATGAGAAAGAAAAACGTGACTTAACATGAAAACGAGAAAAAGATCAAAAGGAAAAATAAAAGGGGGAAATATAAGTATGAAAAAGAAAATGAAAGAGAGATAAATGAAAGAGGCAAAGAAATGAAATGAGGAAAAAGATGAAAATCTAAGAGAACAACCTAGAAAAGGAAAGAAAATAAGATTAAATATTCAAGGGAAAACCTTACAGAGAAGAAAAATAATAAAAAAGAAAAATATGCAAAAAAATAAATAAATAAATAAACAAAAAAAACATGACCTAAAAAAAGAAAAAAAATATGAATAAATAAAAATTGAAACTCAAAAAGAAATCTAAAGAAAGAATAAAAAAAGAAAGAAAGAACAGAAACTAGAAAAACGCGAAAGATAGAATTAAAGATAGCAAAGAAAATGAAAAAGAAAGAGAGAAAGAAAGAACGAAAGGAAGAACAAAAGAAGGAATAGAAACGATAGAAAATGCAAAAAAAAATATAATAATTAAAAGTATAACGAAAAAGAAAGAAAGAACGAAGGAAAAAGAGAGAGCGAGAGAGACGATAGAAAAACTCCGAATAAAGAATTAAAAGTAATAAAGAAAAAGGAAAGGAAGAACAAAAGGAAGAAAAGAAAAGATAGACAAACGCAAAAGAAAGAATTCGAGACAATAAAGAAAGTGAAAGAAAAAAACGAAAGAAATAACAAAAAAATAGAAAATGCAGAAGAAAGAATAAGAGATAATAAAGGAAAAGAAAGAAAGTTTGAGAAAAGGGAAGAAACAGTCGAAAGAAAAGGATAAATAAGAAAATGAAGGAATTACGAAACTGAATAAATTTGACAAGAAAACTCAGTTAAAAAAGTTTGGAATTGCAAATGTATTTCACCTACCTGTCTATGCAATATGAAAGCCTCACTTAAGAATGTTTTTTGGGGGGTTGTTTTTTTTTTTTTTTTGCTCCCCTGAAAAAAAAAATCTGGTCTCATGTGATCCAAGATGGCTGCCAATTTCAAGCGGCAACCCAAGTCAGGTGATTTTCACGCGGGAAAAAAAGTCCTAGTCGCAGCAATCCTGATAGGAAATGAACTTGAATTTCTTAGTTTGTAGATGCTCTTTCTATTCAAAAAGTTCACGGGGCCCCAAATATTAATAGAATCGAAGGTCAATTTTAAAATTTAACAAGTTTGTAATTTATTTTACCATAACGCCTTGAAAGTTCATTTTTTATTTAATTTCAGAAAATCATGGGTACTAGTTTTTAATAATTTTGACAAGGTGATGTAATCTAAAATTTATTCTTCGAACAATTTTAATAAGAACGATAATTAGGCAAAATGATAAAAACTGTAAATAGGAAGACTGTGTTGCTCTAAACGTCTAAATGGGGATGCCCCATCTACCTTAATAGTCAGCATTCGACATACTCAGATGTCGTCTACTGACCGTGGTGGTGAACTAACAAATAATTCAGCTAAGTAATTCCATGGAGAAGATAGATACACACGCACACACATATATATATATATATATATCCTAGCCAGAGCCAACTACACGTCTCGCCACACTGATGAGCGAAACAGTATATATATATATATGGAGAAAGGAAGATACAGAGAGATATGAACAAGCTAAGGTAGACAGATCTAAGACCGTTTAGACCAGGAGATTCAACATATATATATATATATATATATATATATATATATATATATATATATATATATATATTTGGTCAATTTATATATATCAATTTCAAGACAAAGAAAGAATATAATATAAAAGGCTCAAACAGTAATATTCCTTGGTTATAATTTATTACATTTGAATCGTAATCACAACCCAATTCATCAAACTTAATTCAATTCAAATATAAATATATATATATATATATATATATATATATATATATATATGTATATATATATATATATATATATATATATATATATATATATATGTGTGTGTGTGTGTGTGTGTGTGAGTGTGTGTGTGTGTGCGTTAATTGTTCACCCCAAGCAAGGCTGCAGATCAGGCATTAAAGCCACTAAGGCAGAAGGAGGGGTCACTGGGTGTAGAAGAATTAACAAACAGAAACATTACTAAGGAGCAAGAATAAAAGAAGAGTAATCAGGAGGACAGTAGATAGCGATTGACATTGCATTTAAATGTTTGAAGATTAAAGGTGGGCTGGAAAGTATGGAACCGGAAGAGAGTTCTACAAGCGAGAAGTGCGAGAAAAGAAACTGTCAGCATAGAACTTACGGTTACATCGAGCCAACTAATTCTGTACATTGATTAGATCTCGACGCCAGACTAGTACTGCCCTGAAATTCATAAAATGTACGTACCATAGCGAAGAGCTCATAAAGTCAAGGTACCATAACACGAAACTCTCTCTCTCCCCCATCTCTCCACCTCTCTCCTTCTCTCTCACTCTCTCTCTCTCTCTATTTTTTTCATCATGTTGAATTCCGATCGATATTCTATCTGCATCTGAACTTAAAATATATATATATATATATATATATATATATATATATATATATATATATATATATTTAAGTTATGAAAAACTTAGTAATCCGTCTGGGTAATCCCAAGGAGGATGAAACCTGAGAGCTCAATGTAAATCTAGAGCTAATATTTAAAAAAAAAAACAGACCAATTTTAAGGTTCCATTATAATAATTTATTTCACCAGAGCCCTTTTAAAGTACGCGGATCATCAGATAGCACTTCCAAAAATGAAACAAAAGATGAAAAATATATATATATATATATATATATATATATATATATATATATATATATATATATATATATATGTATGTATGAAAAAATGAAAAATATATATATATATATATATATATATATATATAAATATGTATACTGGAGTTTAAAGTTGCCCTATCGGGCGATATTTAAACTAACTCCTACGTTTCTCGGTCCGACCCGGAATGTTTTTAAATTGTTCACGAAGTCAGCCTGATTCCAAAATGATATGATGGGCTACGGCCTGTTGGAGTAAAGTTGATAAAGTGCGACACAGTGACATTCACACACACACACACATATATAAATATATATATATATATATATATATATATATATATATAGTCATCCACAGACTGTTTCGCTGTATTACAGTTCATCAGTGTGGCTACACGTCCGTTTTGCCTTTAGCTAGGATCGAAACCCGGCTGAATATAGGTCAGTCCGAGATTCGACCACTAAGACGTCGGCACACGACAAGGATGAAGGTGAACCCAGTGAGTGAAATAATGGGTTCAGTTCGACATCCCAACCACCTGAAAAGGGCCGGAGCGTACAACGGCCGAAACGTTGTGATAAATATGGCGACAAAGATGAGGATAATAGTCCGAATAATGTAAATAATGTACATAATACCTCATCTCAGAAATATAGACAGAAACTCACCCGCTTTGGCTAAAATCTTGCTGCCTAAATACATCTCCTAGACTCTCTCTCTCTCTCTCTCTCTCTCTCTCTCCCACACACACACACACACACACACACATATATATATATATATTTATACACACACACACACACACACACACACACACACACACACACACACACATATATATATATATATATATATATATATATATATATATATATATATATACATAAACCCTGAAGAGTGGATGGACTGGCCCGCCTGCAAATCTCTGAAGTCGGGATTCTGAAAGTAATATCAATCAGCTAAGTGACAAACTTTTACTTATATATATATTCTCTCTCTCTCTCTTTCACTCTCTCTCTCTTTCAATCTCTGTAATATATACCAGGTAAAAATCCGTGGCTAACTAATCCAAGTAGATCCTATTAATATAAAATATTAAATATGACCCACAAAAGAAAGCTGAATATAAAAAGTATTTGCATTGATAAATGAACGAAATGATCATCTATATGAGGTAAATCGTTTGGATCTCATTAATTGTAATTCCTTATATATATATATTATTATTATTATTATTATTATTATTATTATTATTATTTTCTACCTATTATGAAGAGTTCTATCTCTCGCCGCGCCCCGACCCACCCCGCACCACTCTTAAAGCAAAGAACATATGATGTTGACAACGTTTTAAAAAGTCAGTCACGTTCTTTCTCATTTTTTCGTCTTCGATCTGATGAAGCGTAATCGGCTAAATGTGTTGTCGGATACATTTTCGAAACATTATATTTTCAGGAACGTTTTTCCAATTATCATTAATTTATAAATAAAATATACTATAAATAAAAATATATTACTCCAGGATAATTTTCCAACTTATCCAAGATGATATTCGCCCTCTCTAACCTTCCAATTTTTGTCCTGGGGTAACAAGTTGCCTAACAGTTTTCACGTACGATTTAATTTTCAAGTTTTTTTTCACTGCTCTTTGGACTGTCATAGGGAAATTCCTCTCTCACATGCCAAACGTCTTATGAATTGAGTTGGATCTTTTCTAATTGATC